ATCGCCCGGTCTCCACTCGGGCCCATAAATTCAATATTTAACCCGGTCTAAAACTCCCGATATGAATGGCCGCGCCCGGATCTCTCCCCGGCCGAGGGAAAATGGCCTCTCGGAAAATTGGATCCGGAAGGGGAGATTCGTCTTGGCGAGTTTTCCGGGGCGAGAAACAAATGACAGACGGACACGGGCGGGGGGAGCGGCTCGGTTTCCGGGATGCGAAATTTGTAGCTCCGGTGCATGGACAACGTTCGCCATATATTTAAAAGCCTCGTATACGGGGTGTCGTAAGGAATCAGTTCAAGAGTCTTTTGGAATTATGAAACCCCACACCTGACACCAAAATTTTAAAATTAATTTTAGTTTATTTATGGGGAGAGTGGACGCGTCTTTGATTAAATATATAACTACTTATCTAATATAATTTTAAAACTAAAACTTAAATTATAGTCTTGATCCTGTCCCTTGCTTTTATCTTGTGTTTAGTATCAAAAAGAAAATGTTGATTTTTTTTTAAAGGTAATTCTAATAATTTACCTTTATTGTATATGTTTATGGTGGCATCTTACCTACAAAACAACAAAAGGTTTGCTGTTAATTAGGCTCGCGGTGTGAAACCTAAAGGTATGTTCATAGGAAATTTAGCCACTATACAAATAAAATTCAAATTAATCAACAATAAAAAAACAAAAAGGATTTTTTTAAACTAGTTCAAACCTAAATACTGATTTTACAAATGAATTAAAGAAATAAAAAAAATGTTTTCAATATAGCTGGTTTTAATGGAAATTTTAGTTAGTAGTAGTAGTGTTTATCGATCCTATAAAAGCTATTATTCAAGATCAAAAGACAACATTTTTACTTTTTGGGTTTCTCGCGAAACCGGCTTATAACAAATGATTTGATGCATCAATTGTAGACCATAAAGTTATCTATAAAAAGTTGGAATAGTGACATCTTGCAGATGAGCCAATTTTCATCCGTGCAGTTTTTTTGAACGTTGCCCCGGTAGACCTACTCCACGTTCCATCATGGTACAGTTTTATTGATTATTGATTGATTCCTTTTTCTGTTAATATTCTAATCCAATTATTTAATCTTTAAAGTCGACGTCAACAACAAACTCCTCACCGCTTTCTAATCTTGCGTCGGTCAATGTTTGAAATCCCCACTAACAGTTTCACGTTCCCTCAAAATTTTTTTGCAAATAAAATACAATCGGATAATTACAAAATATATTAATCGGCATAAATTGTAATGGTAGACACTAGCAATAAATAAGTGGGACGTTCAAGCGGTGCCATGTGGACGATGGAGTAGAGAGACTTTGATTAAGGCCCGAGGACTCCTGTCCTATTGAGAATATATTCCCACTATTATCTACGTGACATATACATATGTGCATTCCCAGATAAACAACTATAAGGACCATTTTTGTAGATAATTTCATGGGCCGTAATATATCTAATTATATCTGAGATAATTTTTGAGAAAATTTGTCCTCATCGAAAAAACTTGGGGTACTTTGTGCCACCTTATCCTCTACCGCGTTCCCCAGCACTGTTCCAAAATCCAGCCCAGCAAGAATTGAGAAATTCATGTCATCTCAAGTGTCGATTATCTGTAAAAACAGAATCAAGAAACTTCTAAATTCTTCTACTAGCATTAGTGTTTGTAGTTAGTAAAGAATTTGTCGCTAAAATTGCACAGCTGGGTGATTGGGTTTATCAAACCCCAAACCTGACACCAACTTGCGCTGAATTTGAGTTGCGTTGACGCAGTTTTTTTTTAAAGTGAGAAGCGTAAAATAGCGCGTCGGCGCGCGCAAAAAAAAATGGAAACAGTCGCTTCCCTCGCAGTCATTTGTTTCGATTGTCGGACAAGCTGAACATGATTAGGAAGGTAACGGCAGCGGTGGCGAACGAATTTTCTTGTGAGCGTGTTGATTAAAAACCCAGTGGGGCTGAGATTCTGTTTACACAAAAAAAATATTTTAGATTGTATTGAGTGGGCCAAATTGAACACTTTCTAAGGAAATAAAATGACTGGTGATCAATTTTCATAAGAAAGTTAATAAAATTATGGGGTTTTTTTCGAAAAATTTACTCTAGCATTTAAGACCCATACTCTAAAATTAGGGTAACACTAATTTGCATAAAATGGAAAGACAAGACAAGACAAGTAATCTGCCAAAAGAGTTACAGGTGGTTAATTAGAATAATAAATTACTTAATTAATATTAATCACTCCTAGAAAAATAAAAACTTATATAAAAGTAAGAAGAATATGAAAGTAGATAAATTGCAAAAATAAATAAAAAATCTACTATTTACAATCAAACTTTATTTATAAGTTTCAGTGATTATGTTCCAAGAACTCAAAATAAACTATAATCGTTGGAGTCCCGAGAAATAAGAAGGGGATCTAGAGTGTTTTCTAAAACGTTATCTACAGGGTGTTAGCAAATTGAGTAGATTACAGGTCTTTCGTACACTAAATAGTGCCTCAAAAAAAAGTCCATCGGATTAAGGTCTTGTGAGAGAGGCGACCGAGCTATCTATCGATGTACATGGGGTAGAGCGCCATCTTGTATTAATCACGTGTTCTGTCTCCACTGCAAGGGTACCTTTTCCAACAAAGGTGGTAGAAATTGCAAATATATTTCCTAATTAGACGATTCGTTAAAGAAATTAGGTCCTATAAGATTATCTCCTATAATCCCTGTCCATACATTTAAAGAAATCCGGCGCTGATGTTTTCCTTCAGTTTTTGCATGTGGGTTTTCATATTCCGAAAATTTATAATTCCAACACCACTGAATGCAACCTCGTCAGTGAACAAATTAACATTTTGAATTTTTCCTAAAATTTGATTACATAAAATTACACACAATTGCTCATCACCCTCATACAGTGAACCCTTTGAACTTGAAAGGGCCGAAGATCATTTTCATGCAAAACGGGTCAGCCTCCGCATTTTGAAGTATTTTTTCTTCTCTTGCAGGGGTTCTTTTATACCTTGGTCACCTTTTATTTATAATATCAGGTTTGAATGAACCTCTTTTACCAAGTCTTTTATGTATCTTATGATCAGTCTTGACATAAAGACGTCGTGTACTTCCATTTGCTCGTCCGTAGCAAATGGGTGTATTTGAATATTCCTGATGGACTATCACAGTAGCAGTTGGATAATAAGCTCTTTTGTTAGAAACTAATTTTTAACGGATTGCGACAATGAATCTTTGAAATGTTATTAAGTCCTGTTAGATGTAAAATCATATTTACAGGTAAAAGAATAGAAGCAGAGAATAGAAAATCGATTTGTGGCTAAACGATAAGACTTGTCGACTTAAAACAAGAGTAACAATTTTTGAGGACCCTTGGCAATCATCATAGGCACACCGTGTGTCAAATAAGACGATAGGAGATATGAAAGAAAATTTCGTACAAAAGTTTCTCGGACTCTCCTGAAGATTTAAACTATTATAATTTGATGATACATTTTTTTGAATCCTTGCTTAAAATAAGGGCCATTTTCTTAGCACACTCCTATTCGAACTTCGCATAGTTTATTCAATTAACAAAGTTTCAAGATTTTCAAATTTAACATCCTATATTTTTATCCAGATATCAATTCCAGGACAAAAAATGAGGTAAATTTGTAATTTATCTAATATTAAAATTTTACGTACTTTTTGAGGTATTCGAGGTTCAAGATAACACCCGTATAAATTCTTGTTGAATTTAAAGCTGCCCACAGCAAAAACATGATATTACTTCTTTTTGAGATATAATAGACCTATTACTAACAATACAGGGTGTCCATTAATACGTGGAAATTTTTATATAAATCGACCCTATACTACATACTTTAACAAAACTTTAATAAAAATTCAGTTAACAAAACTACTTAAAGAAACATTACTAGTTAATTATCTATCTAAGAACAAGAATAAATAATTAAATCTTTTAGGCTACGTAAAAAAGGTAATAAATTTGAATAAATAAATCTATTAAAAAAAAGTTAACAAAAAAGGGTTCGTTAATTGGGTCTATAAGGTTTAGTTGAAAATGTTCCTCTTAAAATGCTCGTTCCATCTGGCACCAAAACCACAAAGAAATATCTAAATATTAAAAAATGTAGTTGACATCATAAACTTTTTTTTTTGACGCATTAAGGTATAAACAAACTTTGACATTTCTGTTTGTTTTTGTTGCTTTTTATACTTCTATTTAAAAAGTGCATAGTAGTTATCTCACTAGCGAAGATTCAAGAATGCTGACCCAGCAGTCCTACTTCTACATATAAAAACGTAATTTAACGGTGTCGACGCAGAATTCTGTCTAGATATGTTATTGTAACAGACCATTTTAAACAGTTGTAAATTTGAATAAAGTTTTTCAAAAAGGCAACGGTCGTCCCGAGTTTAGTTGTCAAGTATTTTGTTAATATATATTTTATTTGTATTTTTTATTGTAATTTTAAAAGATATAGCTTTTATGTTAACCTATAAATTTAATTATTTATTTTTGTTATTATTAAATGATTCGTTAAATATGACCTCTGAGGTTTTATTCAATCTATTAAAGCGTGTAGTATAGAGTCAATTTTTCTCATTTGCACGTATTAATGGACACCCTGCATTGTTAGCAATAAGTTTTATTCATATATCTATGCAAAATTCGAATAGGAATTTCTTAAGACAGTGACCTTTATTTTAAGCAAGGATTCAAAAAATGTCGAAATATACAGGGTGTTTCATTTAAAATAACAAAGTTGATGTGAGGGGAGACACTTTTGGGACACCCTGTATCAACAGAACTATAATATTTCAAATCTTCAGGAGAGCCCAAGAAACTTTTGTATAGTGGATCGTTTTATTTGGCACACGGTGTACAATATTAATGCCAAGACCACCAAATACTCAAATTATTACAATATTTCGAAAAATTCCGAAGGCATTAGGCAAAATTTAAAAATATATGTTTTTTCTTATTACGCACCTGAAATCTTCTCATGTCTCTAGGATTGCCGGCGTTCTTCAGGCAGTTCTGATTACACTTCAGGAAAAACTTCAAGAAGAACCTGGAACAAAAATTGCGGGCGATTAACTCTCGAAACTCGAAAAATAATCGAAAGTCCGACGTTTTGCGTGGCTACAAAAAAAATGCGAATACCGGAAACCGGAAAAAACGCGGAAATTGGGGGCGAATCGAACGTTGGGCGGGGGAAAGCCGAATTGATTACCAAAGCGATGCCCTTTACTTTTTAAACGATTTTAATGTTTGACCGTCGATTTTTTTTTACGTTTTTGCGCACCGGAACAATGTCCAAATTATGCGCATTTTTGTTGGATTTTTTTTATGCGCTATTGTCGAAGGCTTGAGTCAATTGATGTCAATTTGAACCGAACATTTATAAACAATTCAAAGATTCGTTTCTTCGGCGCGGCACTGGAGATGAAAGGCGACTAATATTGAAAATAGGCCGAGAAAAGGATTTTTTTTCTTAGAACTCTAATACTGAAACAAAGCAGTTCAGATGAATGTTACTTCTTATGAAATGATTTCCTAGAGTTTGTTGTTTCCATATTTGAAGAGAGAGAAACTTGTTACTTCGCCGCTAAGGGCCGTGTGTAAAAAATCTGGAAAATTAAACCTAACTTCTTGTGTTGCGAATAATAATAATTTATTGAAAATCAAAATATTAACAATATAAGTTATAATACCACGGTGGCAACATTTGAAAATTGCGCTATTCCATGTAACCACAACAGCAGTACCAACAACTAGTAGAGATGTCAGCTGCATCAACCGAGAACAGAATAGGTCCCAGAATACTCCCCTGGGGAACACCTCTCTTCAATGCAATAGTATCTGAATAACTACTCTATGGTATCTCTGACCCAGATTTTTTTTTTAAATAAAAGAGCAGTAACTTTTATCCCGAGAAAGAAATGATACAGGATGTCGAACGCTTTGCCATAGTCCAAGACTATGAGACAAGAGTTTAATTTAGAATCCGGTGCTGTCAATAAATCATGAGTAGCATGAAGCATGGCGGAAGTAGTGCTGTTAAGAGGTCGAAAACCAGATTGAGGTTTCCAAGAATCCGGAAAACCCCAGAGATAAGACACTTGCTAACAAGGAAAGTGATACGATCGATTAAACACGGAGTAGTCGAAACAAGCGTTTTGTTTTAACATTAACCAAACTTTTATTAACTTTTTCAGGGTAAACTTTAGCGAAACGGAATGAATTGGAACCAAGTTGTTTATTAATAAAATTTGCAGACACAAACCAGGATCAATACCAGCACCAAAAGAAGCAAAGCAACATTAAAACTCTTAGGTTGTCCCAAATTGTTTTCAAACAGTAAAGTAGGATTACTGTACACTTGAAGTCTCCTCAAAATACGCCAAAAAGCATGAATATCAAATAAAGAATTCATATTATTCGAAAGAAAGTTCACTTGTACGTTTATATCACCAGAAAAATCTCTGAAGGTACGAAAAAGAGTTGGATGACCGACCGTCTTTCTCCAGCTTGAAATTATAAGAAAGAAAACAGTGATGTGAGATAGCATATCATATCATAAATTTCTATATTGTCACATATGGATAAATTAAAGGTAACCAGTACATCAAGAAGCAAACTAGAGTTACCGGCAACTCGAGTGGGCCCTGTAACTAGTTCATGCATCGAAATCGAAAATAAGCGTGAGTATTAATTTTTAAGAGATCAACATTGAAATCTGAGCATTAGAACATACAAATGTAAACTTGGTATGGATTTTTTTTAAGCTCGTTTGGAAAATAACAATACAAAGCTTAGACATTATACCAATAGCGAATTTCAAAAATTGCTGTTCTGTCTAATCGAGATATTATCCAGTATATTTTATGTCCAAATTGTGAATATCAGTACTAAACTCAAAAAGGTATTGTTGATTTTTAAATTAAATTGCATTTCACATTAAGCCGGTTTACATCTTTTAATTTTCTGCGGTTGCGATCGTCCAATGCAAATTGTATGCAATAAAGGTCCTAACGTGGATCACTGTGGAACTCCGGGAAGAGAAATTAGGACAGAATGTGTGGCAACGGATAATCAATTTCCTTAACGATTGCTTAAATCGTACTGCCGCAGTACTAAGTCACACAAAGCGGAGGATATGTAAGCATTTTGGAAGGACTAAAAGAGCTTTTAAAAAAAAATACAATTTTGTATCAATAACTTGTAAACGGAACCCTGTATAACAAATTTGGACATCCCGTATTGCACATAAAAAATGTTCTTTTTTCAAATTTAACTCATTTTTAAAAATAAAAAACTTATATACCATTGTTGAATTTGCAGAATTTTTAGAAATAGCGGCGAGACGTTTGCAAATAACATTTTTTTTTTATAAAACTCTTTGAAACAATCATTTTCAGATAATCAGTGATAATATATGTTCCCATAAGAAGGCGATTTGTTTGACTCTGTATCAATCAATCTTGATAACATTTTAATTGTCTGTAACGTTTTTGTTTTTAGAGAAATGTAGAGTCAGTAGCCAGATTTTTTTCTGAGTGACGTATAAAACATAATCAATTTTCTGACACCCTGTATATTATATATGTGTATATTATATGTATATATGTCTTTATTCCCATTACAATGATGTAACACACTTTATATTTTAGTGCACTCGTTTATGGCAAAAATAGGAATTTCTTATAATGGGTGTTTTTTTTGTGTATAGAGCTTTAAGTTGGCATTACTGTTCAAGATGGCGACCGATTTAACAGCTGTCAATTGATTTATTCTTAGTTTGGTTTGGCAATTCATCATGAATAACAACGCTCGATGAATGGGCGCAAAACGAGATTGCCGTTGTTCCCGATTTTCATAAGCGAATTTTGTTTAGCGACGAAGCGCACTTCTGGTTGAATGACTACGTCAACAAACAAAACTGCCGCATTTGGAGCGAAGCTAATCCTCAAGTGTATGTCGAAACACCGTTACATCCAGAAAAACTGACTGTTTGGTGCGCTTTATGGGCTGGTGGAATCATTGGTCCGTACTTCTTCAAAAACGATGATGGCCAGAACGTTACAGTCAATGGTGATCGGTATAGAGCTATGATTACTAACTCTTTCATTCCTGAATTGAATAACTATGATGTCCAGAAGATGTGGTTTCAACAAGACGGCGCAACATGTCACACAGCTCGGGCCACAATCGATGTATTGAAGGACACGTTTGGTGACCGCCTAATTTCACGTTTTGGATCTGTGAATTGGCCTCCAAGATCTTGTGATTTAACACCGCTAGACTACTTTCTGTGGGGCTATGTAAAGTCATTTGGAAGGCAACATTCGCCGATATACGGCCACAAATGTTGGAAAAAGTCATCGAAAATTGGACGTCCAGATTGGTCTACATCCGCGCCAGCCGTGGCGGCCATATGCCAGAAATCATATTTAAAATATAATGCCACAAGATTATCTTTCGGATAATCGAATAATCCATCGTTGTTTTATTAAAACTTAAAGTTCTATACATAAAAAAAAACCCTAATAATTTCAAAGAATGACATGACGCACTAAAGTAAAAAATTATTTCACTATTCTAAATACTGCTTTTTTAGAAACTCTATTAAGGATAACGGCGCAAGAAAAATGCGACATCAGAAGCGGGATCCGCGTATTAACGACGGTGGAAGCAAGGCATTAATCTCGAGGGTCAGCAACGTCCTTGGTCAGCAAGTGGTCCGAAAAAGAGGACGGGAGAGGTCGAAAAGGTTCCTTCGGAATTATCTCGTCCACGCCCCGTGACCGGGACGAAAACAAACGGTCGGCAAAATCGGAAAATGCGCGGCGCGCGAGCGAGAGAATTCCTGAAACCTCAGAAGTGGGATGCTAATAAACTCGATTTTTAACTTGCGCGAAATGGAGGAGGGAAAGTGTCTCGAAGCAAAACACACAATTTGTAAACGATTTATACCCATTAAATGCGAGGCGCGAGACAGACGAAACGAGGTACTCTGCGACACGGAAAATTGAGTGAAAGTCGGGACGTAACTTTCCCCGCGAAAACTGTACACTTCGTAGATTGCGCCTCTCCTTAACTTTTCCCTTTGACGCGCCGTGTGCGGTTTGACGCGCGTGACAAATTGGAAATCTGCCGTGATTTACTCCTCTCTTCTAGCACCGAACTACGTCGATTCATGTTGATGATAATTTTTGGTTGATTAAAGCGTTTCTTGAGAAAGAGAGGAAAAATGGAAACGTCAAATATTAAAAAAAAAAAAAGAAAATTTATACCCGATTATGGAAAAGTAACAGTGATAAAGAACAGAGAAGATTGAGAGAGGAAAATTAATTCTATAGAAAGTAAGAGATAATGTGAAAAGAAAATTAAGACGAAATGACTTTTTGAAGCAATCTTTAAAACAAAGACTCACTATAAGGGAAGGCTGAATTGAAAACGTACAAGAACATAACATAAAATGTCAAATAAAAAAAGGACACGGTGAGAAAGAAAGAAATACCCAATACTAAGTGGAGAAAAGTAACAATGACATGACAATATATAACCAAACGAACTTAAAGAAAGAAAAAATAAAGATATAGGAAACTACAAAAACACGAAGTAAGCTGGGAAATATGAGTGATACAGAAAATGAGATGAAAAAATTAAACTAACATTTATGAAGGGTGATTCTGATCTGAGATCGACAGGTCTAAAAACGTTGAAAGAAACCTAACGAAAGAAAATTAATACATGATTAAGAACAGAGAAGGTTAAGAGAGAGGAAAATTAATTCTATTGAAAGTATGAGAAAACCAACAATAAAATAAAAAATCATGCCAGATTGTAATATTTTAAATTGAAAGATATAATGGAAAGTTGAAATAAAAACGTACAAGAACACAACAAAAAGCATTCTTTTAAAAATCTAAATACTTATTGTTACGACACGTCTAAGAAAAAATCAAATAAAAAAGGACACGGGAAAAGGAAACAAACATCTAATACTAACTAAATACAGAAAAGTAATAATGATATGAAAATACACATAAAAAACGAGATAAAAAA